CGCTCAGACCCACGTGCGGGCAGGCGTGCAGGCCGTCGCGCAAAGGCACGCAGCCCCCGGCCCACATCCAGAGCCAGCACCCAGACGCGTAGGCGCGCACCCACCCGGGTGTCCACGGACACGCGTCCAGGCACACGTTCACGCCCGGAGGCAGACGCACAGTTGCCCAGCGAAGCACCCAGAGACCCACGCAGCTCAGACTGAGCGCGTGGAAATGAGTGCCACGGCCCGGAAAGCCCCTCCCGGTCCCGGGCCTCGCCTGCACTTTCCACGCTGAGCCCTCCTCAGGGACCGGCCGAGGCCACCACCCTCCTCCCCTAGCACATGCACACACTCACTCTCCGGACCCCAATCCCGGCCCCCTCCTCAAGCCCTTCACACGGGCCCTTGCCCCTCCCGGGCTCGCTGGGCTTTGGCACCAGGAGGAAAAAAAGGCCCATCTTGAAAACGGAGACCCCTTCGTGCCGGCCTCTCTTCTTCCCAGCAGAGCTCATCCTGCAGCCTCCTTCTCCCGTGTCCTCTGGAACCCACCCTGGCTTTTCCCATCCGCCACCCACAGGGTCGCTGACAAGGCGTGCCCCCCCCATTGGGAATTCCACAGACACTCTGTCTGCACATCCCGTGGGCAAGCTCAAGACTGCCTGTATGCTAGGCTCCCAGATTTGCACCTGCAGCCCCGGCCTCTCGACTCTGTGGCTGGCGCCCAACCCACACCGCGGCAGCACTTCCAGCAGGTGTTCCACCTTGCAGTCTTACCTGAGCCGCAGGTTTCACACCGCAGGCCCCTCCTCTCCCAGGCTCAGCCCTACAGCCAACCCAGGATTCCTCCCTTTCGCCTCCTCCTCAGGGTATCCTGAATCGCTGCTCCTTCTCCCTCTCCAGTGCTGGCATCATAACTCAAGCCACTGTCATCTCCTGCCTTGGCTCCTGAAGCAATAACTGTGGGAGGTATTGGTTTACCAGGTACTGCTCTAAGCCTTTCTTATGTATTGGCTTATTTTAACATTCACTACAACCCTGTAGGATAGACTCAAGCATTATCTTCCCCATTTCTTTACAGATGAGAAAATTGAGACACAGAGAGGTTAAGTAATTGCTGGGTGCCTGAACGATGCGCATTTGTATACCTGACCCTTAACTGTACCCCACAATTTTAAAATAAAAAATATGTTTGTTTGTTTTTTTTTAAAGTAATTTGCCTAAGGCTACACAGCTACTAAGGGTATGTTCCAGGATTCAAAGCCTAGCAGTTTGGCCTGGTGTCTATGCTCTTACCCTTTAGTATACAGTACCTGCTGTCTCTGTGGTGCTCCAAGCAGGCGGGAGGTTTTGTGATCATAGATAAGGAATTAAATGGTGGCTAGTGCAGGAAAAAGACAAGCTCTCCAGGGACACGGAGGGAGATTTCCAGGCACAACTAAGTGCCATTTGCAGTTTGTCATGAAGGAGTGTACAGGGACACCGGCATGTGGCCATGCTGCTTGCACGTGGCA